GCAGGTTCCCCCCCCTACGTCACAGCTAGTCAATGAGCCGCTACCTAACATCCCTCGTTAGAACTCGGCAGGGAGCCAGCGCGGGCAGGGCCTTATCGCCGAGCCAGGGCCACCCTCCACGCAGAGCCCTCGCTGGACTCAGACCAGAGCCCGTTCCTGGGCCTGCTGCGTGTGGCTGGCTGGCTGGGCACGCAAAGTCATCATCCAGGATGTCTCCTGCCTGCTGCCTGTGCACAAAGCGCTAGGGGAGCAGTACATGTGAGTACCCGGCCCCGTCGCCAGCAGCCCGCTCCCCCCGGCACAAAGTCATCATCCAGGATGTCTCCTGCCTGCTGCCTGTGCACAAAGCGCTAGGGGAGCAGTACATGTGAGTACCCGGCCCCGTCGCCAGCAGCCCGCTCCCCCCGGCACCCCCGGCATCGCTGCGCCCCCCCCCCCCGGGGGAGGGGCGGCTCCTGCCCCAGCCTCTCCTGCAAGGGACCCGCACAGCTGCTCCAGCCTTTCAGCAGAACCCGTAAGGCTGTCGGAGGGCTTCCTTGCTGGAGTCACCCAGTGCACATGGGCCCTTCTTGCTGGGGGCTGGGGAAGGACAGCTCCCACAGGCTGGCACTGGGAGATAAGGCCCAGAAGTGTGTCCGCGGAGAGATCTGTGTTGAGACACACGGGCACACACATGCATACACGCTCGTCCTCACGCTCAGAAAGGTGTGTTCAGCTTTGCACGTGCGTGCGTCTCAGCGTCAGGGCTGTGTGTTCTTAGCACACGTGTCACGAGGGCTTGCCCCTGGGTCCAGAGAGCCGAATCTTTCCTTTCTCCCAGTTCTCATTCAGCACTGATGTAAAAGAAGTGCAAAGAAAAGGGAAATCTCGTCTTCGGACGGCTCCGCTTTCACTGCTGCTCTGCTGGTGCTGCAGCCGTGAGCACGAGAGTCCCGGCGGGCAGGGGGTCGGGAGATGGGATGCGTCTACGGAGGGATCTCGTCCAGGTACTGGGCTTGTCCTCTCTTGCGCAAGTCCCTCCCGCTTGCCTGGTCCTTCCTGTGCCCAGCCCTGCATCTCAAGGGCCTGGCTGGGCCACGGGGCGCAGCAGGCACCCCAAGACTCTCTGCAGAGATGAGGCGCCTCCCCTTTAGTAACTGGGGCAGACGTCGCCCTGAGAAACCCCTGGCGGAGGGATCTCGTCCAGGTACTGGGCTTGTCCTCTCTTGCGCAAGTCCCTCCCGCTTGCCTGGTCCTTCCTGTGCCCAGCCCTGCATCTCAAGGGCCTGGCTGGGCCACGGGGCGCAGCAGGCACCCCAAGACTCTCTGCAGAGATGAGGCGCCTCCCCTTTAGTAACTGGGGCAGACGTCGCCCTGAGAAACCCCTGGCCAGGCCAGCGAGCGGTTCGTTTCACAGCCTTTGCCAAACCCGCCGCGGTGCTTGGGTGCTTTGAGACTTTCTCGTGGGCCAGGCTAGAAAGGTAACAGAGATGCAGCCGTGTTAGTCTGGTCTGGCTGAAACAAAGGACAGGGCTATGCAGCACTTTAAAGACTAACAAGATGGTTTATTAGGTGAGGAGCTTTCGTGGGCCAGACCCACTTCCTCAGATCAAATTGTGGAAGAAAATTGGCACGACCGTGTATACCAAAGGGTACAATCCAAAAAGGTGAACACGCATAAAAAGGACAAACCAAATTTCCGAACAGAGAGGGGATGAGGCGGGGAGGGTGGGTCTGGGAGGTTTTCTGGCTGACTTGTGTCTGGCTTGCACCCTGCTCCCACCGCCCTCCCCCAGCTGCCTTTCGGAAGTGCCCTGCGTCTCGGCCGAGCCCTGAGCTGCGGCATGGGGACAGGAATTCCCCTTGTGAGCCTCCTTGGCACAAATCGCCCGGCTTTCCCTGGGCCCTGTGGCTGCACCTTGGCTCAGGCCTGCTCTGCTTCTGTGCTTCAGTTCCCCAGCACCCAGAGCCCTGCTGGGGGCCGGAGTCCCCTGCCGCCTCTCCTGGCGCTGTTCTCTCGGCCCCTCGCTGTCCCTGCTCCAGCTCCCCTGCCCTTTCTCTGGGCTCCTGCGGCCCTTCCGATACCCCTCCCCACGCCTGCCAGCCCAGGGCTCCCCTCCGCCAGCGCACCGTGCAGCTCTGGCTGGCCGCTCTGAGGGGCGGGGCAGGGAGCTGGGC